TTTCCAGCAGAGGGTCCCGGGAGCTGAGCCCCATCCCAAGGTCCAAGGTCCCTGACCTTCTCCGTTGCCTCTAGTCACCCTGGACAGACATCCGCCATCCCCCTCCTGGCTCCTCAGGGACCAGGGGGTCTGCTTCCCACACCAAGCCTGGCAGCTCTGCCTTCCTTAGGAGCTCCCCACAAGCAGGCAGGAGTGAACGCAGGCAGGACCCTGGGCAGTGCTGCCTCAGCAATCAGCAGGCTGCGAGCTCAGCTGTGTGGGCAGGGGGAGGCCTGTGCCTGGCAGGTTTGCACTGCCCTCCTCCCCGCCCAAGGACCCTCCAATGCCAGGCACCTCTGGGTCTGAGCCTTGGAAATCCCAGGAGCAGGGGAGGAGGTAGGGTGCTCATTTGGCCTGGCCGCTCTGTGCCTTTGCTCCCTTCCCCTCTGCCACCCCTTGTGAAGGGCTCAGTAATAACCCGATAGTAACAGGCTGGGCTGGGGGTCAGGAGGGCACAGGTGGGCAGAGAGAGAATAATTCAGGACCCTTGCCAGCCTCCTTCCATTCTCCTCCCCCAACCTGTCTCAAAGAAACTTCTATCTCCAGACTGTAGCAGTGGGGGGGAGGAAAGGAGGAGGGTTGGTTGCTGCCCACCCAGCTCAGTTCGAGGCAGGCACAACAGAGGGGGCTGGTACCCACCAGGCAGTAAGCCAACATTCCAGGCTTATCTATCAGTGTTTGGGCCCTCTGGGCATTTCTTGCCAAATCCATCCTTCTGCCCACCCTAAGGGTGGGTCTCACCCCTGCATCCAAGCTACTCAGCCACCTTCCTAGTGTCAGCATCCCCTTTTCTGGGTCCCCATCCCATACTACCACATAGGGCCCGCCATCACCCCCTTTGGTGCCATCTTTGGGAAGACCCTGCCATGCCAGCTCTGCCATCTGAGTCAGCTTGTGCTAAGTCCACCAACACCCACCGCCAGCTGCTTTGTGCCCTTTCAGGAGCTGGCAGGAAGTGAGGAGGTACAACGGGGAATTGAGAAGAGAAGGGACCATCAAGGGCCGGGGTGGGGAACCTTTTTTCTACCAGGGCCATTCGGATATTCATAACATCATTCTTGGGCCATACAAAATTATCAAATTAGCCTGCTCTGTTTGGTTAAACATTTAATTAACTCACCCCTAAGGCCTTGGCAGGGCCAGACCAAGTGATTTTGCAGGCCTTATACGGCCTGCGGACCTGACATTCCCACCCCTCGTCTAGGGTATGGGGAAGTGGGGGGGAATTTAGAAGAATAGGGCTGGTGGTTCAGGCTCCAAGCCAGACCAGCTCCAGGTGCATTGGGATGGAATAGGATCCAGGAGAGGGCCCAGCTCACCAGGGTACATGGCACGTTCTCCCCCTGCCAGGGAATGGGTCCTGGAACAGTGCGGGCACCGAAAAGATAGCTGATGGGGAGATGGGGAAAGATCATCTCTGGGAACTAGGAATCCCAGGAATGGGAATCCTTGGCCAGGCTGGGCCCAGATGACATCGTGTAGCCAAGCCGGATGTCTCTGGAGCGAGCAGGCATCAAGCCATTTGCCAGAGGTGATGCTTCCTGCCCTCCAACCACAGCCCTTGACATCTGCCAGCTACCCCAGGTGGCATGTGGGGCTCACACTGAGCCAGTGAGTTTCAGACAGAGTTGGGGTTGCCCTGGTGCTGGGGAACGTTTTGTTCCCGCGGCCTCTGGAACCCGACAGAGGTGGCTGGTGGCCCTGAGGCCAGGGGGCCACTGGAAAGGAGAAGAGGGAGGATGACGGAAATCCTGTGAGGTTGCTATGAAAATGATGGCCTTGGGAGGGGGGACATGATTGATGTCTTAAAATATTTGAAGGACTGATATGTGTTAGAGGGAGTAGCTCTTTCTGGAGCCAAGGGAGGAACAGGGGCCCACAGGCAAAAATGGCAGGAGGCAGGGTTCGGCTCTATACAGGGAAGCACTTTCCAGCGGTCGCAGCTGCCCAAAGATGGAGTGACTGTCCCAAGAGAGGGTGTGCTTCCTGTCACAGAGGTGACCCACACAGTCAGACAACCACTCTGAGGGGACGTGCGGGGGATCGGGTAGGGACTGCTCTAAGCCAGTCTTTCAAGTCCCTGCTAACCTAAATGGTATTACTGGCCTGCAGACAGGCCCATGGAGCAACTGAGGGGCAGAGGTGAGGGCCAAGGCAGGGCACCGAGGGCCAGGAGGCTCCTGCTCACTTAGGCTCAACAGCTAAAGACACTGGTTCGAGTCCTGGCTCTGCTACTTCCCAGCTGAGAACTCATGGGTCAGTGACTTACCCCGATGAGGCTCGGTTCCTCATCTGAAAGTGGGGTCATTGTCACCACCTCAGAGGGTAGTGCCAGGATTAATGAGATGTTGCATAAAAAGTGCTCACTCACTTTCAGCTCACTGACAGTGACAGCCCTTATAGCTATAAGTTTATGTGTTTGGACTCAGAGCCTTGCATTGCTCAGAGAGCATGTAGTCCTACCTCTTTCCTCTTGGATGTGGGGACACTGAGGCTCGGGGAGAGGAAGGGAAGTGACTTGCCTTTAGACAGCAGGTTAGTTCTGCCCCCACCTCCAGCGTAGACTTCCAGAGACCTCGTGTGTTCCGTGTCCACCGCCTCTGGGCAGCGGTGGGTTCCCTTGCCTCCCTGGGCCTGTGAAAGCCCCCAGAGCCACATCTGGCCCGTAGATCACATTCGTGTTCTAATTCATGGTCCCCCTGGCCCTCCACCTCTGCCTCAGCGTGCAGGCATCCGGGGCCCGGGGCCCCGATCCTCACAGGCACACAAAGAAGCCCACAGTGCTGTCCGGGAAGCTGCATTTGGAAGGAGCTGGGCAGCTCAGTGTGCCAGACACCCCAGGGTTCTGGCTTCACAGCTGGCAGTGGCACACCAGGCCTACCTTGTGCCCAGACATCTCCCTCTCTGCTCCCCTCATCCGTCTTGCTGCCTGATGACCTCCCCAGGGCTGGAGGGGCCACCACTTTCATCCTCTTGGCACCACTGCCAGGCTGGCTGCCATGGCACACAGGCTGCCCAGTGTGCCAGCTGGGAACCCTGGCCAAGTCTTCCTGTCTGAAGCCAGGGTTCTGGCCCCCGTTTTCTGTCACTGGTGGAAAGGGGGGCTGGGGTAAGGGGGCTCTCAACTGGCGGGGAGTGGGGTGAGAATCTGGGTAGAGAAGATTCCAGGTCTCGCCCTGGGCAGACTCAAGAATGGTACGTTAGGGTGAGCAGCGGAAATAGCCCTGGCCTCCCTGCAGGACCCACTCTGCACTCCAAATGGCTCCAGTTAGGATTCCAGCCACTTGCTCATTTATCAGCCAACATTGATCGAGCAGCTACTATGTGTGCAGGCCCTGTAAGGTGTGAGGCATCTGCCCCTGCCCTTGGCTGGCTCACAGTCCGTCGGGAGGATGAGAAGTGAATAACAACACAAACCTGATTGGAGCTATAACGGAAGTCAGCACTGGGCACGACAGGCCCCCAGAGGAGGGAGTGGTTCCTTTAAATGGAATTCCTGCAGAAGAGACAGCTTCCCGGAAGAGGAAGAGTTGCGGAAATCCTGAAGGATAAAGAGGGTATTAATTGGATGAGGCAGAGAAGGGGACAAATAAGTCCATAGCTCAGAGGCATAAAGCACGGATAAGTCCAAGCCCTCGTGTCCGGGTGGTAGGCGGAAGGTGTGGGTTGGAAAGGCAGGTTTGCCCAAGTTGCAGAGTTTCATGTCTGGAGCAAGGGCTTTTGCTGGGTCCTGAGGAGCCATGAAAAGTTTGGGGTGGCTTTTTTTTGTGTTTTTTTTTTAATATATTATTATTGATTTCAGAGAGGAAGGGGGAGTGAGAGAGAGATAGAAACATCAGTAATGTGAATCATTGATTGGCTGCCTCCTGCACGCCCCCTACTGGGGATCGAGCCCGCAACCCTGGCATGTGCCCTTGGCCGGAATCAAACCTGGCTATCCACTGAGCCAAACTGGCTAGGGCCATGAAAAGTTTTTAGCAAGGTCAGGGATTACCTCCCTGTGTGGAAAGCAGATGGAGGCAGCCCAGCTTGTGCGGCTCAGTGGTTGAGAATCGACCCATGAACCAGGAGGTCATGGTTGATTCCTGGTCAGGGCACATGCCCAGGTTGTGGGCTCAATCCCCATTAGGGGGTGTGCAGGAGGCAGCCGATCAATGATTCTCTCTCATCATTGATGTTTTTTTCTCTCTCTCTTTCTCCCTTCCTCTCAAATCAATAATATATATAAGGCAGGTAGAGGCAAAGGACTGTGGCCTTACTCAGACTGGGGGTGCTGTGGCCTGAATTAGGGCAGGCTGTGCAAGTGATGAGGTGATAGTAGGGGACAGGCTGGAGAGATGTTTTGAGGGGAAATCAGCCCTGAGGATGAGGGTTGAGGGTGACCACCTCCCCCCCCCACTCCCACCCTGTTCAAGAACACAGGTGGACAACTGGGACCTGGAGTGTTTTGTTTGACCCCCAAAGTATTTTTTAACTCGAGTAAACGGTATGCCCATACAATGAAACCCTGCGTAGCCATAAAAAAGAATGATGGGTCTCTTTAAGTATTGTTATGGAATGGTTTCCAGGATTTACTGTTAAGTGAAAAAGCAAGGCGCAAGAAAAATAGTATACTACCATTTCTGCAAAGGAACAAAAAAAAAATGAAACCTTTTAAATGTGTTTCTATTCAATTTCCCATAAAAGTCTAGATTTCTTTTGAAAATTGAAAAACCTGACAGTCCTGGGATGGCCTCCGTTGGCCAGAGGACACCAGCAGCGGCTCCCCAGCTGTTCAGTTTGCCGCAGTCCCCACCACTCCCCGTTGTGTGCCTGCCCAGCGGAACTGCTTTGCTCACGGAGGTTACTGGAGGCATCGGGTTGTGAGCCACCTTCTGGGACTTGGCAGCCTTCCTCTTAGGCCTTCATCTCACCTCTGGCCCTCAGCCTTCAGCTGCCGCTGACCCACCGACCTATCCTGGGGGAGGGGAGCCAGCACCCTCTTGGGCTTCCACTCACAGTCCCTCTTCCTCTCTCAGCTCCAGCGGTTCAAGCGCTCGCTTTCCCTCAAGACCATCCTCCGAAGCAAGAGCGTGGAGAACTTCTTCCTCCGCTCAGGCTCTGAGCTCAAGTGCCCCACCGAGGTGCTGCTGACACCGCCAACCCCGCTGCCCCCGTCCTCCCCACCAGGGGCACCCACAGACAGGGGCCTGCCCACCCCGGCACCCTCCCCCTGCCCAGCCCCACGTCCCCTGGCATCTCTCAAACCAGTGAGGCTGCACAGCTTCCAGGAACATGTCTTCAAGCGAGCCAACCCCTGTGAGCTGTGCCACCAGTTCATTGTAGGTAGGTGCCTGAGGCGGGCAAGCTGATGGGTCAGGGTGGGCCTGGGGAGTTGGCCTATGGAACTTCCTGATAATCATGGCTCCCAGTGCTCACTGTGCCCCTCACCCTGGGCAGACAGATGAGCTCTGTTGGGGTGGGGGGTGCCCAGTCTTGCTGTGTTTACTAACAACTCAGGCTTCAGTGCAAGTTCGCACCCTGACTGGACGAGGGGTAGATGCTAGTCCCGGAGACTGGTCCCCTACCCTCTCCCCACCACCTCACCTCCCTCCTTTGCTCCATCGCCCATGGGTGTGTCCTCTTGATCAACCTCCTTTTCTGAACCCAAATTCTTCCCAGGAAACTCCAAGCAGGGCCTGCGGTGTAAGACATGCAAAGTCAGTGTCCACCTCTGGTGCTCCGAGGAGATCTCCCACCAGCAATGCCCAGTCAAGACGGTGAGTGGAGACGGCCGGCGGTGCGCCCCCAGAACCAGCCTGTGGGGAATGAGTACCCCTCAAGCCTGGTTCCCGTGTGGAGTTGAAGAAGACCCATTACTCCCTGGGCTGTGACATCCTCATGCCCTCTCTCTGCCCCCTCTTGCCATAGTCCTCCTCCTTCCGTCGCAACTTCAGCTCCCCGCTCCTGGTGCATGAGCCGCCACCAGCCTGTTCCACAAGCAGGGAGTCCCCACCCACTGGTGAGTACTCCCTGTTGCTCCTGATCCCACTGTGGGGTGTTGAGCAACCCATGCATTCCTCATCGGGGCACCTGTGTCACACGGGCCCTGCCAGTTCTTGGCACGGCTACCAGCTCCCCTCTGTGGGTCTCCTGTCCTGCATGTAGGGCTCCTTCATTCACTCATCCGTCAGCAAAAACTTTACTGAGCACCTACTGAGTGCCGGACATTGTGCCAGCCACGGACATCGCACTGAAGAAGGTGAAGGTCTTGGTCTGTAATAGACATGAAATAGATAATCACACCAATTATCAATGAGTCATCATTCAGATGAATGCCTAAAACAAGGATAGGAAATAAAGAGAGGAGAAAGCAGCCACCGACCTCAACCATGGAGACTGGGAAAGGCAGTGGGAGAAGTGAAGGGTGGGGAGCTAGTCCACTGAGGATCTGGGGAAGGCCAGTGTGGGCAGAGGGTGTGGCCTGAGGCGGGAAGGGGCAGTCACAGAGAGGACAGCATGGCTGGGACCGAGGGAGCGAGAGTGAGAGGATGGAACAGGACCATAGGCCCAGGGCCTCGGGGTCCATTTTACGATTGTTCTTTGGACTTTATTCTAAGGACACTTTTTGTGTTTTTACAAGGGCATTTTGGCTGCTGTGTGGATTGGAGGGGCCGGAGTGGAAGCAGAGAGTAGTGGGGAGGTGGTGATGGTTGCCAAGAGAGAGTTTGGGAGCTTGGAGCAGACTGGTAGCGGTGGAGATGGAGGGAAGCGGGCAGATTCTAGAACATTCGGGAGGTAGGACTAAGTGACGGAGTGATATGGGCAGTGAGGAGAGTGAGGGCTCCATGGGAGGAGGAGGGGGAATGGGAAGGGCAGATGAGGGGAGACCGGGGCTGCGGTCCAGGGCTCAGGGCTGAGCGAGGCCTGCAGCTGGGCGCCTGGCCTTGAGGGTGGATCCTCGGCAGGCGCCAGCGGGAAGGTGG